GTAACGTTATTTGGCGAGAGTGCTGGTGGTGTGAGCATTGGTCTCCATCTCATGTCCTCCCTAAGCCGCAACTTATTCAGCCAAGCCATCATGCAGAGCGGATCGGCAACGTCCCCTTGGGCCATACTTGATCACAATGAACTGATTACCCGTGGTCTGCGACTTGCCGAAGCTGTAAAATGCCCACATGATCCAAAGGATTTGGATGCTGTTGTGAAATGTCTTCGAGAAACTGATCCCATGATTCTAGTTGAAAATGAATCTGGAAATTTTGGTATCGTTGATTTTCCTTTTGTGCCAGTTGTAGATGGTGCTTTCATTGATGAGCATCCTTCTAAATCCCTCGAAAGAAAGAACTTTAAAAAAACAAATATTCTAATGGGGAGTAATACGGAAGAAGGTACCTTCTGGATCATTTACTATTTAACAGAACTTTTCAAAAAGCATGAGGATGTATACCCGACACGTGAGGATTTCATAAGGTCAGTGAAAGAGCTGAACCCGTACATTGGGGATATTGGACAACAGGCTATTATCTTTCAATACACAGATTGGCTGGATCCAGATGACCCTATCAAAAATAGAGATGCAATCGATAAGATAGTTGGTGATTACCATTTTACTTGCAGTGTCAATGAATTTGCCTATCGCTACGCCGAAACGGGAAACGAAGTGTACATGTACTATTTTACCCACCGATCCTCTGTCAATCCTTGGCCAGGATGGATGGGCGTTATGCACGGAGATGAAATTCCATTTGTGTTTGGGGAACCTTTAAATCCAACTAAAGGGTATAATGAACAAGAAAAGGTTTTAGCCAAAAGAATCATGCGATACTGGGCCAACTTTGCCAAAACTGGGTAAGTAAAATTTAATAACAATTTACTGTGTTATGATTAGTATGCTAAAAAAATGAACTATTTAAGCTACATACCACTTGGATTTTAGTTCAGTTTTTTCTTTTTTGTAATTCTGGTTATATCCTAAGATTTTACATGTATTTTGTAATATTTTATTGTAAAAAAAAATCGTAGGGACTTCGTTAAAATTGGTTATATATTATATAATAAAGCTATCCTTTTTTACATGGAGGGCCAAAAGTCACTATACAATTCGTATAGCTGGTACTAAACAAAATATTAATAAAACAATTGAAACCAATGTAATTATAGTTTAATTTCTAACTATTACTCTAAAATAAACAATGATCTAAACGAAATAACTGTGTAGTCTCTGTTATCCCAACTTGAATATCTAGCTATACAGCAGTCCTTAGACAGCAGTTAAGCATAGAGCTAGTGCTTGTAACATACAACATTAATATGGTTCAGTTTCTTGTATTTTGTCCACGTTAATATTTCTATAACTGAAGAGGGGAAAACATTGTTTCTTCGAATGTTACGGTATCCCATAATAATATCCTCGATTGCACTAACAAGTTACTATTAAACACTTTCAAGATTTACTGTTTTCTAAGGCCTGAAATACTCAATTCAAGAACTACATTTCTTATAGCAAAGGATGTTTAAATTATGAAATAGGTAGCCAACCTCCGTATATAATTTTTGACAGAAATTGAGGATGGTTGATGATATCATATTTCTATCTTTATATCTTTAGGGGTAATTACCATGCCCATAACCAGATATAGACGGTGAGTAGCAGTGGGATTAGGGACGTTGTGGGCTCTAGCACCCAGATCCTAACCCCTTATTGAACCTGTATAAATTGTATAATTTTACATTGTTTTGTTACAGTTTTCCTGGCATGATTAGGTATTTGTTAGCGCGTACATCCATAGTAAAAATGTTTTTTTTACGTAATTATCTCATCAGAGCTAAGGATTCACTTGTGTGCCCTTGGTCTCTTATAGTTCTTCGTTTTATTGATTTTGTTTCGCGATAATTAATTTACTTATATTGAGATCTTAAATCCTTTATTGCTTTTGTTTCGCGATAATTAATTTACTTATATTGAGATCTTAAATCCTATGAAAAAACGTAATATCAGCCTTCTCCAAAGAGCACATTACTTTATGTTGAAGCGTAATGATTAAGAATATAAGACATTTTACATGTGAAATATGTCACATAAATATAAAGTCAGTGTCCAAATTATGTTGTTATCTTCATATTTTATAGCAAGGATTACGTCAACATTTTGCCAAGTTTAGTCCACAACTGATAACTACTTTCATAGTTAATAGTACAAAATAAGTACATATTCTACGTATATCTGATAGTCATTGTTGATGTTGTTACTTAATGAACCATGGATTGTGATTAAAGATACTGAAAAGTATATTTAATTACAGCTGTTTGTTGTTGTTTTTTTTAATTTCGCGCAAAGCTACATGGGAGCTATCTACGTTAGTCGTCCCTAATTTAGCAGTGTAAGACTAGAGGGAAGGCTGCTAGTCATCACCCCCCCCCCACCGCCAACGCTTGGGGCTACTTTTTTACCAAGGAATAGTGGGATTGACCGTCACATTATAACGCTCCCACGGCTGAAAGGGCGAGCATGTTTGGTGAGATGGGGATTCGAACCCGCGACCTGCAGATTGCGAGTCGAGCTCCTTAACCACCTGGCCATGCCAGGCGATAGATATTGGATAGAAATATAATAACACGCTTTAAATATTTAATATCATCGGATCTAATAGTGAAAACAAAATACATAATTCATCAGAGAACAAGGTGAAAGATATCTTCTCAAAATTACAAAATATATGTGGGGGGGGGAGGGGTAATCAGCTCACCACCCATACTGAATAAATAATAACATCTGTCCATGTGACCGATATTAGACACTGATCGATTTTCTGTAAGATTAATTCTATGGTCACAAACTCACGATGCTAACATGAAGTTAGACTAGGAGTTTGAGTCCGTTTGTTTTTGTTTTTTTTAGGTTAGGAGTCTATAAATCTTAGAGGTATGGAGAGAACAAACAAAGTGAGGGAGCGCTATGTGTGTGGTGTTAAAGCCTCGAGATAATTAGAGTAAATATGAGTCTGAGCTAGAATAGTGTTAGCAATATCCAATCAACGTGAGTTTTCTTATAGGGTTACTAAAATTTCTGCAGCAGTAGTGATATTTGATGCGACAGACAAGCAACAGAAGCTTAATGAATCCAATGAGAACAGAATTAATAGTATTAATATATTGCCTCCCAGTGGTACAGCGGTATGTCTGCGGACTTACAACGCTAGAAACTGGGTTTCTATACCCGTGGAGGGCAGAGCACAGATAGCCCATTGTGTAGTTTTGTGCTTAATTACAAACATTTAATATATTAAATTGTCTTTTTATGAATTGCTTGCAGTTTGACAGTAATATATAATGGAAAAAAAAGATAGTAAGTAAAATTAGTGTACATCCTCTATAATTTTTTAAAATTTATTTTTATGTTTTGCAAAGCAGCATATTTAAAAACATTGTCGTAAAAACAAAAACAAAGAAGCTATTTATAGACTACCCCATTCGTACCAACCGGATTTACAAAAGCTTAAATGTATAAACATGTTTACTTACCAAACTACGAATAGAAATTTTGAAGACAAATTGCGTATTGCTATTTATGTCAGTTATATATATATATAATCACGTATAAAGCAGCTAACTTTATTTGTTTAAGGTAAGATAAATGTATTAATTAACTGAGAAAGTTAAAAAATAATCCGTAGTCCATATAAATATCCTTAGTATTGACGTTAGTAATAAATATCGCCCACCCCCAGTGGCACAGCGACGTGTCTGCAGACTTACAACGCCAGAATCCGGGTTTCGATACCCGTGGTGGGCAGAGCACAGATAGCCCATTGTGTAGCTTTATGTTTAACTTCGAACAAACAAGTAATGAATATTGCAGTTTCATTTTACTTTGTAAAAAGCAGTAAGCACGGTATATGATAGGTTTTGTTTATGTTACTCAAGTTATTACAGCATATAGAACATTGAAATGTGAATCTTGTTTTGAAATTTTGGATATCAAGAAAAAGCTCAGGATGCGTGATATTTGATATTTGTCATGAAACTATTTAGGAAAATAATTTGCTATTTAATAAGCAAGCACTAAGCAGAGATCAGTAGAAAAGACCAACATAATGCTAGAATTATTTTTTTTAAATAAGCTGCCAAAAAATGAGTTTGTTTTATTTTAGTCTCATATCTTTCCTAAAAAGTTCAGGGCAACTTGAGAATGATATCTTAATCTACTCGCCTTTGCTAGGTTACAACGTCAAACAGAGCTGTCTTTCATAGTTGCGGCACGATTTCACGGTACAGTATGTAACTTGAGGCCTGGCATGGCCGGGTGGTTAGGACGCTCGACTCGCAATCTGAGTGTCGCGGGTTCGAATCCCCGTCACACCAAAACATGCCCGCCCTTTCAGCCGTGGGGGCGTTATAAAGTGACGGCCAATCCTACTATTCGTTGGTAAAAGAGTATCCCAAGAGTTGGCGGTGGGTGGTGATGACTAGCTGTCTTCCCTCTAGTCTTACACTG